TACAAAATTGTTTAAATGTTATACGAGTATGTTATGTGGTATAGAGAGACCTGTAGATGACACAATTTGGAAAGACTGACTTTTTTCAACGATATTTATTTGTGTGCATCTCGTATTTAAGAAGCAAGTGTTACCACTGTAAAGTATATTCTCAATCGAATTGCAGAATGAAGACTTTCAAGGGAGGCTATACAGTTTGGAGGTATAGTTATAGGTTCATAGGTAACTTTGAGAACAAAAATCTTTGAAAATTTTATGAAATTTAGCTGTAAATTTAGTAACAATAGCAGCTATTTGATTAAAAAGCAATTAAGATCACCGCTGTAATTATATTGCCAAATTGTAGGTTAAAAAAATCAATTGATAAACCTACTATAAAAACAAAATTTTTCAAATATTGTTTAAATAACTTTCTATTTTGGAGTTTAAATAACGACACATAATGCTTTATAATTAAGAGATTTATTGTTAATATAAGAATTTTAATAACTCTCGAATTTTTTTTTAAATACTGAAATCACAATATTGTCCAAATTGGCAATTTATTTTAATATAGAATATTTTTATAAATACTTGGAATTCGAATATGATGATTTATAATTTAATTAATAAATTTTTTTGATTTAAAAAGATTATTGAAAAGTTATGTAAAATATAATAAAATGTTGTACGAAATTTAATAATTTACAAATATTTTATTGAATATTATATACGGAAATAATTAAGTAATATCAAGTTAAATAAATTTTAATATTAAAAAGAATTTATTTTAAGAACATTTTCAATTTTATTTTGAATTCTTTAAATTATGCCTATTTGTCTCTCTGTTCATCTGTATATTTATTTGGTTAATAGGTTTATGATTTGAAATTATATATGATTAAAATAAAGGTTGATTAAATTTAATATAAAAAAGGTCTATATGGCCCCATTTTAAGATCAGCTTCATATTAATCATTTTAGATTTTAGTATAAAATGTAGAGTATAGTGCAGTATTTGTTAAAGTACAATTAATTACAAAATTTGTATAAAGTTACCGGTTCTAAATATATCAATGGGGCTCAAAATTTTCACACAACTAATATTTATGTTTGTTTCGAATGCCATTTGAAATTTCCACTAGTTCAGAATGAATTTTTTTTAATGAATATTTTATTTCATTACACTATCATGTTGCAGCAATATGCATTATATAAATGTATTTTTTAAAAATATTTTAGTATACATATACATTTGTACATAAGAATTTATAGAAATTACATAAGTATATATACATACATTTTAAATATAAGTTCGTTGGATGAAAAGAAATTAAAATAAAATATTTTTTTTTTAATCAATTTGGAATGTTATTAAACCATAAATAAAAAATTATTTGAAAAGAAATTTTAAATTTCAATTCTAAATTGAAAACAAAATAATAATATCTTTATTAATATTCAATGGAAATGGTCAGAATTTGTTGAGTATACCTTCATATGTTCTATTCTATAACATTTAGTTACAAAGTAGTATGTGCACGTTTCTGTATCGTTATATTATGATAAAGTTAATATGAAAATTTTAAAATAATATTTTTGTATTTTGTATACACACGTAGAACTTTTTGTATTTTACCTTTAAGTAAAAATAATTTAATTTTTCTTTATATAAGTTTCAAATAATTTGAAAGCAAACATTGAAATTTAATTTTTTGAAAGTAATTTTCAATGTAAAATATTTATTGGTATATGTACACGTATGTACTCGTATACATGTATATAATGAAGAAATATCCATTTGATTTTGAAATATTCATTTTACTTCCATGGTTTTAAAAATTGTATTAATATTATTTGCTATGGGAATAAAATTGGACGTTTGAATTTTTAAATTTTAATTCAAAGATCTTTTTTTAATTTTTTCTATGATGAATGAGAATATTTCATTTATTGTAACATTTATGTAAAGACATTTTCTATTGAACGGGTATAAGATTGTTCTTAAAATTATTTTAATTTGCTTGTACAGAAAATTGTTGTCCAATTTTTAAATTGCCTATTACTTTGGAGGAAAAGGGATAAAACTGTTTTAAAAAGCTTGACAATATAAGATATAATAAGCTTATTAAAGAAAATCTATTATAAAATAGCATTATTTTTAGACTAAAACTTGAAAACCATTGTAATTTTAAAATTGTCATTGTAATTAAGAAATCCGCGAACCATAATTTTCAATATTTTGTAAGCAAATTGTGATTTGTAAAAGTAGGAGGTTGCAAATAAAATCTCTTAAATATTATTTTGACTTTTGCTACTTAGAAGTTGAATTAGTTGGTTAATTTTCAAATTGGTAATTAAATGTTAGTAGCATATTTTGGAAAGGTTGAGAAAAAAATTGAAAAATCATTAAAAAATATTTTGATTGTTCCTTTGATTAATTTTAATGGAATATTAACGTATCTAGCTGTCTATGAATATAATATAAATTAATTACTTATTTTTTATATTATATGAATAATACAACATTCACACCAACTACATGTATATATGTAAATGTTAAAGTCGATTATTTATTTAATTTAATTAGTTATAAATGAAAATAACAGCGTGGGTTTCCTTTAATGTTTTTTCAATGTACGAATTTCAATAAATTTTAATTATTTTTAGTTGCAATTTATAGTTTAAAATATTATTTTATTTATATACAATATTTTTTTGTATTTATTTTTTTTTTTAAATTACTAAAATTTTTTTTTTCGTTGTGTATAAAAATTGCATATATGGTATATAAAATTTTCAATTCAAAAAAAATAAATATTAAAAAAATGATATTTTCTTATTGGTGCTCATTGACTGTAGCTTCACGGCATTCATTTAATTATAGCCAATACATATATGTATTCTATTTACTGTTCATTATTTTTAAAATTTTAATAAAATAATGAATGTATATAGGGAAAAAGGGAATGAATCAATGAGTAAATGTATGTATATTGGAGTTATTGTTATGTAAACACTATCTAATGAATAATATGCACATGCACTGGGTGCATTCACAACCTGAAATTACAGATTTAGTATGTAGGAGTTGGAATACAAAAATACCATGGGGTATGTGTTATATTATATATATTGATTTTAGAAATGAAATTTAATGAATATGAACTTTGTCTTTAGAGTTAGAAAAGTATTTTCATATAACAAATTCCTTGAGAAGTCAATTAATTTTTATTTCCAATGTCATTATCATTAATTAAATAGTTTTTATAAATAAATTTCTTTAAGACTATTTTCGAAATTTGTTGGAACCGAATGCAATCATATCTAAACAGGACTCGATATTTACAATTAAACAAGCTGCTTAGGCCGAAAATGTTGTATTTTATTTCATACTTTTAGTTTTGGAATTTTTTTTTTTCATTATGAGGCTTTACTATAATAAGTATATTATTGTTATTGTCCTGTACAGATTTTATATGAATTGACAAAAGGACATTTACCTAAATTTTTTATCTTTATTTAACATCAAAAAATTTTTTGTGCAAATGCAGAGTATATAGGAATTAATATTTATTTAAAGTTTTTAAATACATTGTAGAACAAAAAAATCTGGTATACACGCAGGGCGAATTCAAGATGACTCTCAAAGTAAACTATACCAAATTTATATATGCACATAATTTGTTTTTGTGCTTTACGTCGATAACCATTCAAAAATTAAATTTTACTTTAAATGCTGTGCAATTTTTTGTTTTAAAAGCTAGGTATTATTTTTTATTAGCACCTACCTTTAACTTTATTATCCAGCCTTATTTCAAATTTTCATGTTCTTTCTTATGTTTTCTTGAGAAAAATACTGTTTCAATGCTAATACTTTGGAGATTTGCAATTTCACTATACTTTATATTTTAATTTACTATTCAAAACATCGTAATTTTCGAATTTCTCCACCTTAAAACAAATATTTTTTTGTTTTAGGTTTTTTTCTTACAAATTTAGTATGAAATAATTCCGTTCTTCAAAATTCTTGGGTTCTTCAAAAAATCTTTTTGTGGCAATTCTACTCATTTAGGTAGAAATTTTTTCTGTCCAAAAATATGCGCTATTGGAATAACCTAAAAATTTAAAACATTTCGCCTTAAGATATGCAAAATTTCTTAAATCGTAAAATAAATTGAATTTAAATTTGAGTTTAAATTTTGTTTAAGTAGTTATTCTTAAATATAGCTATAACTACAATTTAAAATTTTCTAAATAAAAGCTAATTGATAATTTTTTTATAAATGCAATTCTTCCAAAATATGCATTTCGAAATGTCGACTATATTACCGCATGTCGAGTATTACCGCATATTGAAATAAATCACAATTCAATTAATTTTTCAAAAAAAATTTATTCCTTTAATTTTAATTGGGTTTATTCCGAAGTTTGGGCTAAAACATGCCATTCAGAAAAATATTTTCTACATGTCCTCAATTCTATATAGCCCAAAATAAACTTGTAGTTTTTACTAGAACAATTAATATTTAATTCATTGGAAAAAATAGGAAATTCAAATTAAGCACAATTGGTTTTTCATTTTACTTTTACAGCTCAAGATATAACATTGCTAGTTAAAGCATATACCACCATAAATTCATGTATATATGTAAGTGCTACATACGGAATATAAGTCTAAAAATGACCATGTACAAAAAAAAGCATGGCCCATAAAAACTATACAAAATTTTTTAATATTTTAAAACTCGTTTATCCATTCATTTTTGTTTTTCTTGTTTATTATTGGATTAGAAAAACAAGAAATTTACAAGATATATTTTTTTTTATAAATATTTCTTCGGCTTCATGATAAAACACTCAACTTGTCAATTAAGTCTTATCAAAATTGCAAAAAAAAGTAGATGAAATTGAAAGAAGAAACGAATTTTCTATGATAGTAAAATACATATACTAACTTTTTTATTTGTATATGTGTATGAATGTATATGAATTACAATTTTTTTTTTCTTTCTTTACAGAATTTCCGCCCAGTCACATATTCAGAGAAGGATTTCGGAAAATTCTATTCAGGAGATTCATACATCGTTTTAAATGTAAGTGCTAAAAAATTTTCCCTTTCTTTTTTTCCATTACTATTAAATTGAAAAATATGTATGTATGTATGTATGTATGTATGCGTATAAAAGTGTGTGCTCGAATTTTCAAAGAAATTTTAATATTCTTTTTTTTTGGTGTTAAAAATGTCAAAGATTTCTTAAAGTATTGAATAAACAAAAATTATTTTGGTAAATTAAAAATATTAAAATTTAGAATTTTTGTTTTACATAATATTTTGGTGATTTTATTTATTTTTCAATTACCAAATGTACATACATATGTTGTTATGGTGATAAAATATGTATGTAATAAATTTACATTCAAAACAGATTAATTTTAATTACATTAATATAATTAAAATTCAATTACAATACTATTATGTTAATTACAATTTTTAATCAAATAATTATGGTTTATTTAATTGATAATAATTAATAAAAATTCTACATAACAATTTAATCACTAAAGAAGAACACGATCTACTTACAATTAAAAATAAGTGTGAAAAGATTGTAATTCAAGGAATTTTCAAAAGAAAAGAAATATTTAACAAATTTTTCTTTAAAATATGATAAAGAAATTGAAATCAGTGTTAAATAATTATAAAATATACAAGGTAATTAAATTTATTGACAATATGTCGAAACTGCCTAAAACTCAATATTTGAATACTCCATTTCTAAGCATCTATGTATGTAATTTACCAGAATTTGGTTCAATCCGATTAATTTAAGCTTAGAAAATAAATTTTTAAGAAAACATACTATGATTTGCAAAATTTGAAAAGCTGAGTACAGATTAATTTAAGTAAAAATGAAATTGGTTTTAAATTTAAGAGATAGGGGTGCTTGAAAATTTTTATATTTCCAAATAAATTTCAATTTGATTTAATCGAAACGATACAATAATTTAAATTTAACCAATGTTAAAATTTAGAGACAGATTCAACAAATGTGAATAGAATAAAAATAACAGAAAGCTATGCATATTGAAAATTCAGGGACAGCAATTTATTTTGTTATCTGACCATTGGTGCAGTGGTTATGGCACCGGCCCTTTAAACGAAGGGTCTCGGGTTCAAACCCCGGTCAGGTCACTATTAAAATTATATTCAATATTATATAACTTAATATGCAAATACTAATAAAATATTATACAAGTAATTTTTAAATGTTCATAATATTCGATACTAAAGACTAAGAAAAATAAACAGTAAATATTAATAAACTGAAATATTTAATATAAATAACAACTACGGTAGACTAGTCACCTACCTAGCTAACTCTCTATGACTATAGAAACTAGAGCATCATAGATATCATGCACTAGCCCTATACTCCTCCTAGGAGTGAAGAAGGAAAAAAAAAAAAAAAAAAAATTTATTTTGTTAAATCACCTTTTGAAAAACAATAAAATTAAATAATTTCAATTTTAAATAAAAGTTTTTCAAATTTATTCGATTATATTTTATAATCATCTCCTATTCTTCAAATTTAATATTGCCATACTCTTAGATATTTAAATATCAGATTCAAAAATGTTAACAAAAATAAATTTTAAATTAAAATAGGCAAAAATTTTAGAATTTATCAAAGGGCTTTTTAAAACCACTTAATGGTACATACTAATTACTATCTTACAATTACGATTAGTTGAATGTAAAATTAAAAAATTAAAAAACAAAATATTCATATTTTACAGTAGAATGATTTTTATAAATATAAAATTAATTTCAGTAAATATTTTAGTTGCCATTTATGTAATATTTTTTTTTTATTGAATATAAACATAAAAACATAAGTTTTCATTATATTGTCTTTGATGTCATTTCAATCGTGCGAACATATAAAATAACATTTATATAATTTTTTTTGTATATGTTTGTATATGTATATATACAAATTTATCTAATGTTTTTTTAAAAATCCCTTTACAACAGTTCTTTTATTTTATAATATGTTACTAATTTTATATATTCATATAAAATTTATATTATATATAATTTTATATATTTTTTTGCTACTAATTTTAATATATTTTTCTTATTGTAACATCATAGACAAAAAAAGATAAAAATAATAAATTCTCATGGGATGTTCATTTTTGGTTGGGCTCACAAACATCACAAGATGAAGCTGGTGCTGCTGCAATTTTAACTGTCCAATTAGATGATCTCTTAAATGATGGTCCTGTACAACATCGTGAAGTACAAGATCATGAATCTTCTTTATTTTTAAGTTATTTTAAAAATGGTAAGTGCATACACAATATAAAATGTTTTAAATTTTTTTTTTGTATTGTAAATATGTATAGAATATAGAATATACCTACATATATATTCTACATTAATGTAAATTTCTAGTATATTTCAATTACACAAGTATTCTGATAATATTACAAACATACTCGTATATTATAGGTGTACATACACTTTTATAACAAAATTTAATCCTATATTTTACTGTTAAATTTTCTTATTTTTGTTTTTTTTTTTTATAAACCTCATTTCAGAAAGAGAGAGAATCTATCCAACATTTTATATTAAACATGTTTTTTTTTTATTCGTTTTAAAAAACAAAATTGTAACAAAATTGCAAAAAACAAAAAATCTGTTATAGTGGTTTTAAATACAAGAAAAATAAGAGTAAAAAATGAAAAGAAAGGTGATTGCACCTACGTATTTGTGTTGCATCAAGAGAATTTTAAATTTATCCATCTTTTTCACTCATTTATTATGTCCTTTACACATTATGCTATAATATATATGTGTGCTCATGTATATGAATTACATATAATAGAGATATACACGTTTCTTACATGTGTACATACACATAAAAAGTAGATAGAAATGCATTAGAGAATTTTCTACGTGACAGATGTTAAGATCTACCTTAAATGACTGGGTTAGATTTTCATCTTGAAAAGTTTTTCATTTTATGGTTTTCATTTCTCTTTTTTTTTTCTTCTTCACTTCTTCTTGTTTTTTTTTTTAGATTATAATAAAAGCAAAAAGAAAAAGGCAAAAAATATTACGATATAAAAATAAAAATGAAAAAAAGAAATTAGAGTTAAAAGTGAAGGAGAGTGGAAAAACCCCTAAAAACATAATCTAATTTTATTCAATTGATTTCAATTTAGTTGTTATTTTTTGTATTTTTTTTTTGTTTTTTTTTTTTTGACAAAACTTTAATATGTTTATATTATATTGGATTGCATTATAAAGAAATATAAAAAAAATTTTTGATTATTTTTTAATATTTTCAAAACATGTTGATAACATTAAAAATAACTATAATTTCAAAGTGAAAAAAATACTGTTATTATTTTCATACATTTTCCAACGTTGTCCTTGAAATAACCTTTAAAATAACACAATGGTTTTCTTCACCTTATTTTTTTTTTAACGAAATACTTGCGATTGTTTTTTTGCATATGTAGATTGATTTGTAAATTTTTGCACATATTGTTGAGTTTGTTAAAGTTTGTAATACTTTCAATCATACTGTTATACATATATGAGTTCTTATATTAAAAAATTTTTTTATTTATTTTGAAAATTGAGAATTTTCTTTTTGATTTTCAATCTTTAATTTGTAAATTTTTGAATTATTACAAATGTAAATAATTTTACAAACTTTCATAATTTTAATGATTGCCATTGAAAACTGGTTTGTTTTCCTTTCAATTCCAAAAGGGATTTTATTTTGTTTTTTCAACTTTGTCAAAGTGACAAGTAATGAGTTGATAAGAAAAGATTTGGGAAATTTTTTTCAAATCAATAATTTCAACTGAAATATTTTAATTGTAATTTTTCATTTGAAATATTTCAACAATTTTTATTCGGAAAATTTAAGTCGGAATTTTGAATTGTTCAGGAATTATAATTTGGAAAAAATAATGTTTTATTGAGTTTTTAGATAATTTAGTAGAACATCGAAAATTTTATGTTATAATTTTATGAAATAGTTATTTAATAGATGTAATAAATAGGTAGACTCTAATTTGATCATTGTACTAAAGCTGAATCTTGTATATCGCCTTTTTAACTCACTTTTTATTCACTTTCAAATCAGAATTCTCAGTTTTTCTAGAGAATATACGATTTTTCCAATAAGATTACTCATTTTTTTTAAATTATCAACTGAACTTCTGACCTTCAAAAACTTCATCTTCAAAATGAATACGTTAAATTTTGCATACATTTTAGAAAAAATCATATACGGAACGCAATACGGAATTATTCTTCTCACTCAAATATTACATCATACAAATATATGATAGCTCACTCATTTTCTTCTCACTTGGCAAGTAAATTAGCGGGATACACGACCATGGTCTTAATATTTTTTTAAAAATTTTTTGTCATTTCGCCAATAAGTATGCAATAATTTTTTATTGCAAAAAAGTAATTTTGTTATAATTATTGAGAAAAATTATTTAGATAAAAGATTAAATTGTTCAAGAGAAAAGTGAAAATTTACAGACCATTTGTTTGATCCGAATTTATTTAAGTATCATTAACAAATTTACAACTTTGTACTATAGTTTTTGATATGAACATTTTAAAGAATTAAAATATTATGCAATTTATAAATATATTATATGTATATGTAAATATATACATAATTATATTAATGATGTATTATTTAAAAGTATGAAGTTACATACATACATATACAAAATCAGAATTCCAAAAATTGTTCTTCAAACGAATTACAATTTTCATTTTAATTATTGCTTTCGTTAAATTCACGTGGTCTGTCATATGAAATTTAATTAAAATAAAATATTATTTTTTACACTTGTTCGGGAGGAACAGTAATAATTAAATGTTATTATTATAATTTTCTTTCAATATGTGAAAATGTGTGTAAGAGTTTTGAGTATAATATTTATTTAATGGCGTAAAATTATTAAAAAAGAAAATTTATCTTGATTATTTTAAATTGAATTTGGTTAATGGGCTACACCTGCATGTTGACTTTAAATTAACACAAAATTCAATTTTGAAAATAATTTAAAATTTAAATATTTTTCACGCTATATATAGGAGTGAAATCAAAATTATTTTAAATTTATAACAATATTTATCATCAATCTGTATAAAACTGTTTCAATAGCGTATATTCAATAATATTTTCTATCGTTTTAAATTCAAACGTCATTATGATATAATTTTGGAAATTAAAATTGTTTCAAACTAGGCGGAATCTTTGAAATAATTATATAAATTTCCAATTATTGCAGTAACTTGCTGTAATAATTGGAAATTATCTTATAAAATTTAAGAAACGCGCTCTTTAAAATTTTTTGAATGCAATTCAATTAAGTTTAAATTTTGTTCGTTTTAAGCTTCTACTTTACGTTTTGTATAACCGTCCGCAATCAGAAATTGTTAATGGCTTGCATATTTTCTGAGTGCAATGCATGCAATAAGGGAGGTGTTATCTCCTTATTAAAAAAATTTCTATATCAGATTTTCAAAAGACCATTCCATGTCAAAATAGTGCAAAACAACTATTTTATATAGATTTTTATCGGCTTGTCCTTCTGTTCACTAAAAAGTACCATTTATTCATAAAAGTTCCAAAAGTTTGTATTTGAAATTTTTGATTTTTTTAATAAAAAAAAAAATATGTAAAATTTATTGAAATTAAATGTTTTTGGCCCCGTTTGTTAATGAAACTAACTGACCAACAACAAAACGGTTAATATATCCATTAACCATATAATATGGTATATTTGCCATTCTTATTCAATTATTTTTCTTACCCAATTATTTTTCTTATATTCGAATATTTTATAAAAATTTTTAACAATATTTTTATTTTTTATTAAAATTGCATTGAATTAATTTTATATAACTATATGTAAAAATTTTTTTATTTCATATTGTATATTTATATAGGAATTCGTTATCTTGATGGTGGTGTTGGTACTGGTTTTAAACATGTTGAAACAAATGCAGCTGGTGAAAAACGTTTATTCCAAGTAAAAGGAAAAAAGAATGTACGTGTACGTCAAGTTAATTTATCGGTATCATCAATGAATAAAGGTGATTGCTTTATATTGGATGCCGGAAATGATATTTATGTATATGTTGGTTCCGGTTCTAAACGTGTTGAAAAATTAAAAGCAATCAGTGCTGCTAATCAAATTAGAGATCAAGATCATAATGGTCGTGCTAAAGTTAATATTATTGGTAAGTTTTGATTTTTGAATTTCTTTTTTTTTGTTGTTGTAATGGTTATTTGGAATTATATGCAATACAATTGAAGATATAGAATAGTACAACAATATTTTTTAGAGTTGTACGATTGGAGTTATTATTTAAATACTTTGAATTTGGATTTTATGGGAAATTTTTTTTTAAATTTTGTATAAAAATAAAGTGAGTTAAATTGTGTAGTATTAAAAATACTAATAACTTTTTTCATAAATTTTTCCCTGGAGCTCAGGTAGCTAATATCGAAATACAAAATAATGTCGAAATTGTCATTCTAATTTATTGAAAAGTTATTCAAATTTTGAATTAATCATAATGGTTTTTTGTGAATTATTTTGAAGTTATTGAATTTTGTTGGACATCAAAAGGACATGCTTTATTCAATAAATAACAAAAAAAGGACAAAGGAGTATTTTCATTGCGTATTATTTTTTTTATAATATTATCTATTAAAATTTAATTTATAATTTTGCATTATAATTTTAAAGGATGTTAATGAAACACTCTTGTTATATTTGACTGAAATTTTCTAACAGCACATAAACACAAATGTGTAATTATGAATGAATGATTTAAATTTACCTTTATTTTTAATTAATTTTTATATTTATTATTTTTTTACTTTTCAAGCGGTGCCCGCTTTTAGTTTACACTAACGAAACGAAAAAAGGGCAAAAAAATGCAAGCGAAAGCTTTTCAATTTATGTGCCATGCTTATTTTTATTTTAATTTTTTTTTTATTATTTTAATATCTTCTACTTCTGTTGATACAAATACATTTACATATATATATGTATACACTTATTTAATAACGGTATTTAATATTATTTTTTTTTTGTTCTTTTGTTGCAAAGAAAAAAGGACATCGAATGAAAAAAAAAATATACAAACTTAATTACATAAATTTTTTCTTTTTAATTTTGTTTGTGTTTTATTTTTTTGCATATTTATGCTATCAACTTTTCTGCAATAATAAAAAGGGGGGAAATTATTTAGATATTTTTATTCTGTACACTCATAAGATATTTGCTATGTTAAATTAGTAAAACAGAAATATTAGGAAAGTGACATAGTAAGGTGGTATATGGGATGTATTTGAAAACTCAATTGTAAGGTTAACAGTTCTCTAATTAATTTATAAACACAAAATTGAATAAAATTTTATACCCCCATAATAATATAAAGTTATGCTCTCGTAAAATTGTATATGTAATTTAATATAATTTATGCATTTAATATAAGGGCAACTAAAATTAAGATTGCCAAGAATTTCATATTTCATTCTAGTTCTGATCGGAAATTTCGGGATTCTTTTTATATTTTCTACATAAAATTTAAATTGTTATATCAATAATTCTTCCCGAATTTTCTATAATGTTATGAAATCCGATTCTGTTCAAAATGCTAAATGCAAGATCGGAACTACAAAATGGTCTTTGAAATTATAGACTTCACAATTCCTACATTCTTTTCAACTTTACACATTTTAATATTTCATACATACTCGTATAAGAAGATAAAACAGTATTATGTGCTGTTAACATTTATAAAATTTTACAATATATTTCTATATTTAAAAAGTATTGTAGCCCACAAAATAATCCGTAACTTTACGATCAAAATAATAATAAACGTAAAAAATATATATGAAATAAATATATATATACATACATAATATATAAAAGAGGTAAGGACAAAAGGTATTCTAGTATTCATGATTGAAAACAAGGTGAATATTATATAGAAATGAAAATGTATTTCAGACATCCTTTTTTTTTTTGCTTTTAATTTTTTCTTTTCATTATTTTTTTTTACATTTAATTTTGTTTTTATATTTGTTTTGTATATACAGTATGTAGGTATACCTGTGTTGTTTGTCCTTCTTCTGTTTTATAATAATTTACTGCAAATCCCTTGTAATTTATTGAGAACATTAAGAATAAAAAAAGTTCAGCATTAAAATTGCGAATGAAATTAATGAGCATAAGAATTTAAATGAATATTGGTTTGATATCCTTAAAGTCAAAGAGTGAAATAAAATTTCATGAAAGGTGTCCTTATTTCTTTTATTTTTTTACAGAATTTTTTTTATTTTAATTTTTTTTAATATATTGTTATTTTTGTTTTTGTTTTTTGTATAGTATTATTTTGAAAGAGTATATAATAGAGTATAGAGTGAAATTTTGGAAAATATGGTGGGAAATTATTATTCATATTGTATACAGATCTCGTTTTTTGAATTTTCGGAATGATGGTTCGAATTGAAAAATTGAAAAAAAGGAATTTTAAAATTTAATTTTTTATATTTGTGAAATGAAATTATAATCAATAATTACAATTTGGATTTTGTCTTAATGTCAAAGTCAAATTTTATTGTCTAATTCCCTGTTCACACTACAACGAATAACATTATTCTCGAATAACATGTTACGTATAGTGTTTAACTATAAATTTTATGTGGAAAAAAATTGTCAAAATAAAACATGTTTTTCTATTGTGAATGGATTATTTTTGGATTTTTTTCGATCAAATCAAAGGAAATTTTGAATGAAACTTCAAAAAATTTAAATCCATAATAATTTTTAGTAAATTGAAATCCAAAAATATTTCAAAATAGAAAAATGACATGAACACAAAATATAAAATTATTTTGTTTTAAATTTTTAAATAAACAAAATGTGAACTAATACAAGTTTACTACCAAATCAAAACAGCTGTAGTAGTGTAAATCCAATTTTCTATTACATTTTAATTAAACGGTATAACTTGCTATTTTCCTGTATTGGAACCACTTTTAGAAAATAGCGATTAAAACTTAATTTTTGCAAATGTCCTCGTTTACCAAATACTACAAATTGTTAAAATTTTAGTTTACGAAAATTTAAATCTGACAATTTTTTATTAATTTCCCTTTACAACTGTTTTCATTGGCTTAAAAGTCTGCAATTTTGCTTATATTGGTTTCTTCAAATTAATTTTGTGAAACAATTTTATATTTCTCTTAAATATCTTGTTTCTGTTTTTTACGAAGAGAAGCCTACATTTCGTATGAACTACAAAATCACTTTTATAATATTTTATATTACACAGATTATAATAACAACAGTGAGAGAAAAGAAAAAGAAAAAATAAAAAGTTGAAAACATAAAGTTGAAGTTCTCTCGAAATTTTTACTAAATTTTAAAAGAAGAGAGTTGATCTTAAATAAATGAATAAAATGGATAGTCACCTCGCTATTGTGAATTGTTGTAATGACCTCTATGGTTTAAAAAAAAAAGAGAGAAAAAAAAAATAATAAAGAAATATTTTATGCTTTTTAATTTAAAGTTGAAATTATACAAAAAGTATGTTATGGAAAATATACACTGTAGGTACTGGAGAAGGAAAATGTTATTTAAAATTAACGAAATAAAGTTAAAATAAACATATACTCGCATATATCGTAGCGAAAATTTATAATTAAATTAATAAAATGTTAAATTTAATGGGTTTTAATTAGGGACTTCATTTTATTATGTTTTCTCATTTTTTTTTTTTGCATTTCCTTTAATATAAACTCAAATTAACAAAATCTATGATGTGTATTTGTATTTATATGTGCTAGGTATATTAATGGCAACTATATTATTCAGAAACGAAACAAATGAAAAAAAAATTGTTCATTTAACAACTTGGGAATTCGCGTCTGTATTTATGTAAGTGTCAAATTACGCTATTTTCATTTAAAATAAAGCATTGATTTGCAGACTTATTGTTATTACAAAATTTAATATTAAATGCAAGGGTAATATAGTTTTATGGAGATGTTTAAAAAAAAACAACAATTTATGTGCGGTATTGTTGAACGAGAATTGTAGAATCTAAAAAGAGAAAATGGGCCTTAATTCCAATGGCATAAGTAGAGTTTCTTTTGGGCTTTAAGATAAGTTATCAATACGTATATTTCCTGGAATTATAATGAAAAGAATTAAAATAGCATAGGGGGAGAGATGTAAGAATAACCTCAAAACTTGCGTTTTAATAACAAAATTTAAATTACAAATAATAAGTGTTGCTTTTTTTCGAGCCTTGCGTATTTGAGATTTTATTTTTAATAACAAGCAAAATTTTCAATAAAAGTCCAATACCAACTTTTTAAAAATTTAATTATCTTTTAAATTATTGTCTGAAAATATTTTATTTAAAACAATTATTAAAATTTAATTGGAAAATTTTCAAAAAATTGTTAGAAATAAACTCATAAATTCATAAATTCAAATAAAAATACAAAATTTTTATTTATTGCAGATGAGTTTAGTACCGATGGTGATAAACAAGAATTCTTTGATATTTTGGGATCAGGTTCACCTGCAGAAGTACCAGCTGAATCAACTGCTGAAGAAGATGGTGCTTTCGAAACTGCTGATGCAAATAGTGTTACATTATATAAAGTTAGCGATCAAGCTGGCTCATTGAAAATTGATACAATTGCAACGAAACCAATACGCCAAGAGATGTTGGATACAAAAGATTGCTTTATTTTAGATACTGGATCTGGTATTTATGTTTGGGTTGGGAAAGGTTCAACAAAACAAGAAAAAACTTCAGGATTATCAAAAGCGCAAGGTAATCTAATTTTTTTCTGCACTTTATTTCTAATTAACAATTTTATTGAAAATAATTAAAAATTTTGTAGAATTTATTGCAACTAAAAAATATCCAGCTTGGACCCAAGTTCATCGTATTGTTGAAGGCGCTGAATCGGCACCATTTAAACAATATTTTGCGACATGGAGAGATGGTGGTATGTCTCATAGTCGTTTAATTCGTTCAGCTCTTGGATATGATTCTGATGTAGATGATTCTGAAATTGATATGACTCAGTGGGATGCTTTGAAAAAGAGTGGTGGTCGTGCTATTGGTTTTATGCCAGACGATGCACAAAATCCATTCAAAGAAATTATACAATTTGTTTATCGTCCAGATTTAGATGAAGTACAACACGGTGAAGTTTCAATGGAAAATGTTAATACAATACTTGGTTTTGGATCATATGTCTATCGATATGAATATTCCAATAAATATGGAGAATCTGGTACTATTCTTTATGTTTGGGAAGGTGAAAAGGCTCCAGAAAGCACCAAAGTTGCTGCTCTTAATTATGCTGATGATTTAAGTACCCAATTAAATGGTGCTATGGTTGTAAGAATTGTTCAGGGACATGAACCACGTCATTTCTTAAAAATATTCAAAGGTAAACTATTATCAACAATTACTGGTGCTCCAACTGGCCCACAATTATTCCGTATTCGTGGAACATCACAAGATGATGTTCGTGCTAACGAAGTTAAATTGGATTCAATTTCATTGGCTTCTGATGATGTATTTGCTTTGATTTTGTCAGATAAATATTTCATTTGGATTGGATTGGTAATAAAATAATTATAAAAATTAGCTTTTTTAGTTATTATTTTTTTCTATTTTTTTAATCAAAAGGGTGCATCTGAATTTGAAAGAACGATGGCACAGGAAAGAATTGCCGAATTTTGGCCCGGAAAAGAAATGGAAGTAATCGAAGAAGGTGCTGAACCAGATGATTTCTGGGAACCATTAAATGGGGAAGGAGTTTATGATAGAACTGTTGGAAATCCAGGAGCTCCGCTTTTAGAACCACGTCTATTCCATTGCAGAATTTCAAGAAATGGTCGCATTATGGTTGAAGAAGTAAGTGACTTTGAACAAGCTGATTTAGATGTTGATGACGTTATGATTATTGATGGTGGCGATGAACTTTATTCGTGGGTCGGTGAAGGTACAACATTACAAGAAAATAAAGCAGCTTTTCAAATGGCAAAGGTAAGTTTCAAAACAACTTTAAAATTTTTTTTATTTTCGCCGCTGAATTGATATCATGTACAATTTTTTTTTTTACAGGAATATATTCATAAAGATCCATCACATCGTGATGCTGAAAATATTCCAATTGTAAAATTATACCAGGGACATGAACCAACATGCTTTAAAAAAATGTTTCCATCTTGGGATAAAAATTATTGGAAGGTCAGTTCTTAAATTTTCAAATGTAATGAAGAGTAGCAAATAGTGATGACATGGCTTTAATGTAGACAAAAAATATAATAATTTTAATTATATTTTATTAAGATTTTTGCATACTTACATTTTGATAAAATATTTACAAGTAACACTTAAGATTTAAATAAAAATTTTTAGAAAAATTTGACTTTCACTTTATTTAGATTTAGAATTTAGTTTACTAAAATTATTGTAGATTTTGTTTAACCCTTCTTTTTACCCTTTAATTTAAAACACTAAAAGCTTTAATAATCTAAGGTGATGGATTAAGATATTTGAGCTCTATAATTGACAAATTAGTTCTTAATAGTTGCATTACAGTAAGTATTTATATTTAATTTTCAAAATAATCTAGTTTATCTATATATGCATTTAAATATTTTTTCTTATACTATTTAAAAAATCTACTTAATTTGTATTTAATTTGGAAAAAGGTAGTGGTTTGTGATTTTTTTTGTTGAAATGTATGTGTGTATTTAATGAGCTTAATTTGACAAATTTGCAAAATTATAATAATCACAGCGTAAAACAGAAGATTGCGTTAAACATTTTAGCTAATGAAAAACATTATTTTTGGAAATAATTTGCACATGGCTTGTGTATCTAATCAAGTTACATTGAAGTCAAAAGAAATTGGAAGAAGTTAATCCAAGCATAAGTGATTTATATGAAAACATTGAAAATTATAAATTGTTGGGACATTTTATCAATTAATAATTTTATATAATGTTATTATTAAATTCCTTGAGATTTTATGATTTTTTAAGTTACAATTATACATATATAGCATTATTAGAATATCATAAATTCATTAAGTAACTAACAAACATTAAAATCATTAATATCTTATTCGTAATACCGTAAATTATATTGGTCAAATATTTAATGAGCTATTGGCATTTTTACAATAAAATTATGCGCTGTTGATATTTTGAAACATTAACAAACAGCAACATGAAATTCATATTTTTAAATTTTATTTAAAATTTGCTAAAATCACATTTTAAAATCCATCATAATTTATTCTATATCTTAATAATATTATTTACAGTCTGTTCCAAGCTATGATGATATTAAGAAAAAACTTGAAGAGCATAACAGTCAAATTAATAATGATGTAGAAAATTGATTATGAAGGTGCTGAATCAATTTCTAATTGTATTATGTTTGTAATGAATGTGTATATATATATATATCTAAGAGTAGTTCTATACTTTTAAAATATAAATTGACTTCCTATATTTTCTTTTAGTATTAATATTCAAATCCAAAGTGTAAAAACAAATCGAAAATTTATAAAAATAAATAAATAAAATTTTTGTTTTGTTACTATTTTAATGATAGATTTAAGAATTCTTAATTGGTTTGTTGTATGATTATTATTGTAAATAAATCAATTTTATTTTTTAAAATAATTTGATTCTTTTTAGTAATTAAGATTTCTTGAGATTGAGATTTCTTTATCTAGAAATATATTTAGTACTAAGTATGTAGTCTTTCTCTTTAGTTTTTTAGAAATTTTTAATAACTTTCTGTTCTAAAATTTTATTGTACTGTATATAGCTATGGGTAAGTTTCTTTTTTTTTTAGAAATAATATACTGTATGTGTCTAAAGGCCCATATTGCACCAACCACTGTTTTCTGTTGCATAAGGAGTTAAAACAATAATGAATTATATACGAATAAAAAAAGTGGTTTTTTTACGATTTAAAGAAAGTAAAAGCAAAAGTAAAACAAAAAGTGGTTCGTGCAATAGGTCCCAGTTTTAACTATTTAATTTCTAATACATTATGTTGTCTGTTATTCGTACTATTTATAATGAATGCTCAGAATCAATATTTTGTTCAAGGTCATACTGAAAATTTCAGGATTTAAAATGTATTTCAACATAATTTAATTGTATAATTCATATCCTTGTCATTTAAAATTTTTCCCAAAATATTCATGAATTATACTATTGCTCTCTTATATATCGAAAGAACAATATTATAATTCGAGACCTTTTTTCGCAAAATACATACAGAGAAATTAATTGTAAATTAACGAAAAATCTTAAAATTTTTAAAACATTAATCCAATATTTTGATTTTAATGAGATTAAGTGAAATAATTTAAATTTTTTTAATGTTCAAGATTTAAATCCTTTGGATACCAAATAAAAAATTCTGCAAATTAAGATGTTAAAAGATTAGAATAACGAAATTTTTTCAATTGCATTTCTTTACAATTAAACAAAAGTTTTCCACTTGACTATAAGATCTTTTACAGTTACTTGAAAAACCCATATCTGTACGAAACATGTATATATGTATATTTATATACATAATATATATATACTATAAATTGAATTCGATTACAATTTAAAAGTTATTGACTATTATCAAGTGCTTAAATGATTTTCAATTTATTTTTTTTTTAAAATGGGATGTTATATGATTACTGGATTTGGAGGAGAAAATTGTTCTATTTTCTATTTATCTTATACATACATACTTACATATATAATTGAGATAATCATGATATTATTTTGCTGGTCATTACCTTACAAAACATGATAAGATGAAAATGATCAACTGAAATGTAAGCATTAATTTGTTGTTATATGAAAGAGAAGGAGAACTTATGTTGTTAAAAACCTAAGTACATACAATGACGTATGTACCTACATATTTGAAAATATTTTTTCGACATAAAATAAACAGAATATCCGATTATTTTTTTTTTGTTTTACTTTTATTTACTTGAACTGATTTACTTTCCAGCGAAGTTGTGATGTGATAAGTTCATCTGAAATTTAGATAGAAAATAAAAAATTTTGTTTTAAAAATTTTTCTTTTTTTATAGAAACTAATTAGAAGAATACAGAAAATTCAGACCGGATTTCAAGCACTTAAAGTACATACATAAGAAAACATAAAAGGGAGTAAAAATATAAAACATACTAACATATAAGAATAATAATAAAAAATCTGAAATGAAAACAAAGAGAGTAACAACAAGAAAAGGAGGAAAAGCAAGAAAAAAACGATAATTATTAAAAGTCCTTTGAGAATAATTTTCGTTACGATTTAATTAAAAATCAATAAAACACATTTGAACTTTAAACGTAGTAATATTAATGAATTAATATGTATTTGGTGACTGTAATAACACAGTTTGATGTTGATGCTGTAAACACTGATAATATAAAATTATAAAACACTTATTATATAAAATTATTCATGCCATTAAAATGCATTTTGAATTTTATAAGAATTTTTCAATATCTCAAACAAATATTATTGTAAATAGAGGAAAATGTGGAACAATAATTTGATTTAAAAAATATTTATTGTTTAATTGACTTTACTTACAAAAGATGAAAACCAACTATAAATAATTAATGGTTTTTAAAATTTAATATAAAGAAAAAACTGTGGAAGCTTGGCCATTACGGAATTAATTAAATGACTTGTGAAACTGAGGCTTTAAGATTCGGAGTAAAGAGAAAAAAATTTGATTTGGGAATGGCAAAATTTTATCTAACTCGCTATTTACCTAACAATATAAAGTTGAGTTAACCGAGCAAGAGCGATTTTCCGCGAGGAAATGTCAGAATTCATATAGAAAACACATATTTAAATTGGACCGTCCAAAGTCAAACGCTCCAATAGTCGATTCCTGCTGCAAATTTAACTGCCTAAATTCCTCTTTTACCGCTGGCGGCTTTCTTTATCATTATCTGTTTTCATGCGTGTATGACATTTTATGCAAAATATTATTCAATTGATTTTACCGTTCCACTTTTGTCCTGGGTTAGCAACGGAAATTGTCCGCCGTTAAAGCTCACAGCTTTGATTCTATTTTCACAGTAAAAAGTATTTGAAGTATTTATATGAAATTTTATGAAACCGAATGTTATTTAATACATAAAGAATAATTTTTAATTTTAAAATATATTTCTAAGGAAATTATTCTTCTTTGAATAACTTTTAATCTAATATAGGAGAGATGTCATGTTATTGTAGTTGAGTTATGTTTATTGTGTATTCGGATATTCAATATGAATTTGTTTACTATCTCACTTTAATTTATGTAATAAAATATACATATTACATACCTATATTGTATTTCATATCTCTTTTCTTGAAAGTTTCTTGTTATACATGCATTTTCAACAGTTCAATTATAGTATGCATCTTTTGAATATATGACATTTTCATTCTCATTAATCTTATATAGTCTTAATATAATTAATAATTTGTAAACATCTTTAAAATATTTAAATGCTATAAAAGAACAATATTATGTATTTAATTAAACTTCTGATATAAATAATAATTTGAAATTTTATAAAATTTATTTTGTTACACCAACATACACTCATTAATATATTATATAATAAAATTATATTGTAACAGATTATATAATAGAATAACATATATACAGAACTTCATTTTGTATGTAAAATACGTAGACAAATGAACAAAAATACAAAATCCTTTTTAGTCTTGTCGTATAAGGTTTGTACTATACGTGTATGCTTTCATAATTAAACGAAAAAAAAAGGAATAAACAAGGATATTTGAATTTTTGTTGATAATACAGAAATAAATCTTCATTGATTTTACCAACATATATGGATTAAATTATTATGTTTTTGAAAGTATAAGATGAGAATAAATTTGACGGATGACTTTACCATAATAATAATATGTCAATATATTTTAATTTAAGACAACAAAGAAATTTTGACCTTTTATGATCAAAAATATTTTGACTATACTATACACCTTAATCTGTGTATCCTTATAGTCATGTTTGTAAGATTCTAAAATATAATGGAAAAAAACTTCCTGGTGAGAATATTGTGATTGATTTTAATGAATTTTGTTTTTGATGCAATAACAATGCTATTTAAATATTTTATTTTTTATGAATTATGAATCTATTAAGGTTGTTGCTATGTAATAAATTTTTTTGCTATTGTGCCTATAATTTTGCATGCAGTCTGACAGTTTTTAAATCAATATTATATATTTTATATATAGTATAACGCAACTATCTTTTTAAATGAAAATTTTACTGAGAAATTATTCAATTTTCAAGAAGAGTTTCTGAAAAACTTTTGGAGAAAATATTTTTAAATTTTGTAGATCTTAAATTTCTAAATTAAAAAGAAATTTTATTAATGTATTCTTTGCCGTGTATTCATTTTTTGAGACAAGAACTCGAAAGTAAAAGCGATCTAACTAGAAAAGAGTAGAAACAAATTGATTTAATTTTGCATATTTTTAGGGGCCATAGTTTTAAGAAAGATAAAACTGGTATTAGATTAGTACTCTAGTGATTTAATTCTTAACAATATCTTTACACAAATTCTTAAAAATATTAAGTTTTAATATTACAAAATTATAAAAATTTGAAATTTGAAATTTATACAATCTTGGTAAATTTTATTTGTACTTTATTTTATTTTGTTAAACAATTCATCATGTAATTGAGTTTTGTCCAGTTTAATTATATAATAATAACAGATTGTTATATTTATTTAAATATAAAAATATACTTTGTATATATATATATCTATAATTTCTCTCAAATACACTTTAATACAAACTTTTAGTTTTATAAAATATAATTTTAAAATTTTTGTATTTTCTTTCAATTTCAGCATACATTTCCACATTTACAGCATATCATTAAAAAAGGTATTAAAAATATAAAAGAATTCTTTACTCATCATAATCATCATAATCATGATGAAAGCATTCATCATGATAACAATCATCATCATCATCACCATCATCACCATCTTCATCGTCATGGTAATCAATCCGATCATGAAAATGAAATTTAATATCCATATGTATGTATGTACAATTGTTACATAATGATAAAGTATACATATATTATGTAAAGTATATAATATTATGATATGCACAATGATAAGAACGAATACATTAGATATTGTCAAATAATTTAACATTAAATCATAATATTATGAATATTTTTTTAAATTAAATTAAAAGACTGTCAAGAAGAATATAAAAATTATTATACAATAAAATTCAATTTTCATTTATTTATTTGAACATAATATTGTATGTATATTTATGTCATTAAATGGATAATAAAATTTTTCTAATGAAAAGTAAAATAAAAATTTTAATTAAAAATGTGTGTAATTTTAATATTAAATTTAATACTTAAAATTGAGTCTGTCCTATTATCTTTAAAAACAACAGGGTTATTGGTAACTTCATTTATGTAATTCAAAAGCTATTGTTTTTTCATCAAAGTTCGGCGATTAATTTTAATATCTTAAAATTATAAGCAATTTTATAAAATTTTTTAATTAATCCTTTTTAAGATGGTGACTACCGTCACATAGCATAACATTTGCAGAAAATTTTATAATTAAATACTACACAAACTGCTGAAAAAATATTTTTGGAAATGCGCAGCAATGTTCTGACAAAAATTTTTATACCCGTACGATTGTGTGTTCGAAGGGTGTCATAAATAAAATTGTCCTACCGTTTGTAACGCAGAGAAATATTATTTTACCTATTCACATTTTGATACACAGCTGCAAACAAAAAATTTTAGAAAATTCAAGGCAAATTGACAATTTTAATTTTACTGTAATACCCGCAAATATCCGAAAACTTAAAAATGACGGAAGATTTAGAAGAATATTATTCAAGTAACTTTTGTATTGCAAAATCTTTCTTAATTATTATATTTTCGAGAAAGGTTGAAATTTATCGTAATAAATGTGTTATTAGTATTCCAGACATTATTAATTTATGATCATATTATCATACTATATACTTACTTATTTATTGTCGTATCATGTAAAGAATCATAAAATTTTGTAATATAAAATTCTTCAAAGAAATTTTGTATGGCAATAGTGTGAGGAGAATCCACTGTAACTTGTATTTCAATGAAAACAATATTGAATTTAGTTAAAATTAACAAATTTATTTTAAATTTTCCTGCCAATTTACTAAATATTTTATGTGGTTCTATATTTTAACAATATGAGAACAATTTAAATTTTTAACACAATAACTAACTAAATATCTCCTTAAATGAATTTATTTTATAATTAAGTAAATGTTATAAACGAAATTCTTGTTAAAAAAAAATTGCTAAATTTAAACTTTAATCTATGTATATTAGAACAAATTAATTCAATTCAATAAATCTTTATTCCAAAATAAACTCAAACTTAAATTAATTACAATTTGTATGTATTTATATATAGTACACGCCAAAATTGGCTTAGCACTACGTTATGTACATAAATTTATTTAATGCATAGTGATGTAAACGTATGGCTAAGTGAACTTCATACGCTGTCGTTAAAATACCAAAAACTGAAATAAGTAAGTCTATAGTTCAAAGGAATGCTAGCTCCGAATTCCCTCTTAAATATAAGTAAAAATAGATATAAATTAAAATAGTTATATTGGCGTGTAATATATGTAAATTTTATATTTTATATAAAAAGAAGAAGGAAGAAGTATCAATGCAAACACTTCACTTGAGATGAATGATCAAGAGTCGTAGAACCAAATTAGTAACGCTAATACTTGGTTTAAATTTTCAATATTAATATAATCTTGTTGAAGAAGCCAAGACTTAATAATAGTCAAGGATGTTTTACAAATTCTAATTCTTCTAAAATGTCAAGTGGTAATCTTAAACACTGTAGGTACATAAATTGTAAAAAAAGCTTATATAGAAAGCCTTCAAATATCGAGGAATAATATAGCAAAATCATGCAAATTTAAATTGATTGTTTATATTTCGACAATTGCAAATATATAAAAATAATTTTGCTAATGAGTTCTATAAAGACTTTTATGACAAATTTAGTATAAGAAAGAAAAATACAATTTAGAGCATGAAATTCGTTTAGTTGCTTTAAGCAATTTTACTTTAAAACAATGAACTGATTTTTAAATGCTAATTTTTATAGCTATAGCAGTAAAGGTAAATGAATTGTTAAAATTGCATAAAAAGTAAAAAAAAAAAAATTAAATAATCACAGCTTGAAACCTAGATAACTCACTTTATGTGGTTATCAAGAAACTGCAAAACGAGGAAAGCCAAAAAAAAAACTAAATTGGAAATAACTGTAAAAATGTTTTAAGCAAAAATTTTATAGTTTTAAAATATCTTAATCAAATAGGAACACAATTCATTTAAGAAACAAAATTTAATAAACTTTAATTGCGATAATTTTTAATGAATGTCTACAAAATAACGACAATTTTGTGGAAAATTTTTGTTAGAAAAAATATAAAATTAATATTAAGTTAGTATGAGGTTAACTACTATTTTCAAGCATGTTCTTATTGTGAATAACACCGTACCCTGATGGATCTAAAACTGACATGTGTTACAACTATTCATACAAATATAATACAAAAGCTCATGCGCTCTTAAGCTGTAACAAACAAAAACAAATCTGGTACCTATTTATTTTACTGTGTTCTGTTGTATAACATTATAAAATTTTCAGAGTCACCTTCCATATTTTCCATGATTTAAAAAACGAATTTTTAAATTCATAATACCATACTTATTTAATGACAAATTTAAATGATTTTAATTAAATGTACAAGTATAAGGAAATTTATTACCGTATCAAAAACAATTCACTTACATTATCGTTTCCTTAACTTTTAATTAATAAAATATTTATCAGATTATTTATTACGTTATAATACAGGGTAATATTGATCGTATAAATATTGTAGCATTTAAATTAACTTTTCTCAGTATAGTCATCAACATAATAACTGTAATTTAATAAAATGTCTGAAGTACTCTACCGGCCCACAAATTTCTTTGTATTAATTGGGATCATTATTGAATTTTTATTACCAGAATTGTTATATGCGAAAATTATTACAAATGAAGCTGTTATAAATTATAAGAATGATGAAAAATTATATTCAATGATATTTCCAGGTACAAAATGGTGTGGTCCCGGTAACAATGCTGATGGTTATGATGATCTAGGTATGTGTTAGAAATGCATATATAATTTAAATATAATTACAATTTGAACTTTATTATTTTGATATTTTTATTCATAAAGGTGAATTGAATTTTAGGAAAATTTCGTGAAACAGATAAATGTTGTCGCGATCATGATAATTGTGATTCTATTCCAGCTGGTGGTGAAAAGCATGGTTTACAAAATGATGGTAGATATACTAGGTAAATTATATAGATTAAATAAATTAGTGATATTTAAGTAATTTAAAAATAATTTAATATTTTTAAAGATTACATTGTAAATGTGATAAAAATTTCTATGATTGTTTACACAAAGTAAATGATCGTGTTTCAAATATTGTTGGAAGAACATATTTTCAATTTACGAATCTATGCTATCGGGAAGATCGTCCAACAACAGGTTGTTTGGAAACTGAAACATCGTAAGTGTTAAAATATTTTATATAATCGTAATAAAGCTTAAAAACAGTATGATTATTAAATTTTTTTTAGACTTTTTGATAAACGTTGTGTTAAATATAGTTATGATAGAAGTCAACCGAAAAAATATCAATGGTTTGATTTACCATATTATAATTCGGAAAAATTTCCAGATTTAAGAGGCTCAGAAGCAGAAACTTATTAATAAGAAATACTTATGAAATAATATGTGCTACTAATAGTATTAGAATTATTAATATGTGCTTTTCAAGAATCGTACGAATCAATGGCATTTACAGGTCATGGCATGGTCACTGCTTCTAATTTTCGTTTCATTTTGGTTAAAGATTTCTTTTCAGTGATTTTCAACTTCTTTTTTTAATTGGATATTTTTTATATAAGTATGGATACCTGTTTATAAGTATACTTACCTGTAATTACATAAAATGTCATAGAAGGAACTCTTGTAAAATTCAAACAAAGAATAAAGCTCTGAGAAAAAAGCCAAGGATTCTACTCTAATAATGCTCTAGAGTCTAGATTTTTAATATTAAGTTGTTCATATTATAAATGTTATTGTAAATTATTATAAATGTTATATTTAAAAAAAAATTAAATCAAATTTAAATTAAATCTTAAATAGTGAAATTTAATTAGAAGAACTTCTTTTTTTATGAAACTCAAATATTTTAATATAAATTAAATAGTATAATGTTGATTGTTATTATTTTTCCGAGAACATTATGTATTAACACATAATAAGTATGTATTACAAATATGGTTAACAATATTAAGATTTGTAATACAATACTTCCAAGAATTGTTCACCTGTTAAATACTCATTTTAAAGCGGAAGGAATAGAATTGAGAAAGAAAGCCGCAGAATTTTTTAAATTCGAATAATTTTTAATATTAGAAATATGTAAGTTTAACACAATATAACACCCACATTTATATATGTATGAATGTACGAGAACGACTTCAGTTATATTTCTTGTTTCTTCAATAAGTTTTCTACTCTTGTCTGTATGTAATGTGAAAAAAATTACAAAGAAATAATATACAAATAATATTTCGAGTAGATAATTTTGTTTAAGATCATTGAACAGTAATGTCAGCATCAAGTTTAAAATGAAGTTTGTAAATAAAAATTAAAGGTTAAATCGTCAAATTTCTTTGTCTTTATAAAAAGTTTTTTGCTTGTAAATGATGTTTTTATAACGGTGTACTCGTAAGTTAAGAACAGAAATGAACAAAACTAATTTTGTTTTGCTAATATAGAATTTCGGCATTTACGTGCGTTCCAATGTACGTATATAATAAGAAGAGAACGAATATAACAAGTAAAATAAAATTTAAAAAAAATTATTGAAAAAATTATAGAGACCGCCGAATTCCCGTTAATCATAGATAATTCAAATATTTTAAGCACATTTTTACGGAAAAAAATTCATTCTCTTCATGTTCTCTTTAATTTAAAATCAACAAAAGCCAATCTATAATCAGATTTCTTTTAAAATATACGCAACTTCTGGTATTTAATAAGAAAAAAAAAATACTAAAGCTTTGGTTCTCAGGTGTTAATAAAAACAAAAATATTGTTGTTTTTTTTCTTTCCCCAAAAATTTACGATAATTTCTCCGAAAAAAAAGATAGAGAAAAGAAAGTCAATTTTTTTTTTCTGTAATTTTTTTTTTTTACTTTTAAGCCTTTTTACATCGATCAGATAAAAAACAGTGAAAAACAATTAAGTCCCCTTTCATTTTTTATACAAATTATCTTCACCTTTAATCAATTTAGAATCACAACAAATTAAAAACAAAAAAAAAACAAAAATTAGAAAAAATAAAATTTTAAGAAGGTAAATTATTTTAGTAACGGGGTAAATTTTTTACTTGATTCAAGGTGAGAATTACCTGTTGGCACTTTAAAAACTCCTATTCCGTTATTATAATATTTTTTTTTCTCTCTCTCTCTCATTTTTATTTTTTCTTCTATTGTTCGTGTTGTTTTGTTTTCATGACGGATTTTAAATGACTAAATTGTTTTGAAAGAAAAATAAAAATAAACCAAAAAAAAAAAGAAGAAAAGTGAAAGGTATTCAGGTGAAATAATTATAATTCAACATTTGTAGTATCTTGATGGTTATATATATATACGAAAAAAAGGCTTTCAAAATATTTATTTTGTGTTTTGGCTTCTCTACCTTTCCTTTTTCATAATTTTTTTTTTTTATAAATTTTGTTGTGTTTTTTTTTGTTTTTTGTAAATATTCAATAAAAGATTCCTCTTAATATGTTTTAATGAATTATATAAAAACATAAACCAATTTATTCAAATGGGTATACATAATTCAAGAGTATTAGAATTTCAGTATAAAGGACTTTTTATTTAATTAACAAAAAAAATTACAAAAGCCCTTACAATAAAGGAATTATTAACCATACTTGAAAAAAATAAAGTTGGGTCAAACCAATGGTTTGTATTGTAGCACTTTTCCCTTCAACAAGTGAAAATTCTGCTTTTAAATACAGTCTATGTATACCTATCACACTATAAAAATTATTTTCATTCATATACAAAACTATTTCTAGGATTGCATATATTTAGGATCAACGATTTATGCAGTCTTTGAAATAAAGCAAAAATTAATATAAAGTGGGGTTAACATAATGCTCGATTTTAAGGTTTAATTATGTGAGTTAAGAAAAATAATTATATTTTTTAATGTCATGGAATTTACCGTTAGCTTTTTGTGCTTATAGAAATTTGAAAAAGCTTACGGTTTCGGAAATATAAGGTATCAAAAATTCAAATTTTACAAATTTCCAGTGGCAATAACTTGAGAGGGGAAGGAGATGGAAAAAAATTTTCTTCCAACGAAATTAACTATTTGTTAATGTCTAAGAGCCCATAAAATTTCAAGCTTCTACAGGTTGGGGTCTAGAAAATAAACGACATCAAAAATTTGGAAAAAACGGACTTTAGATAACGGTAAATTTGAACGGCCATTTTGTTTTTCTAAAGTTTAACTATAGTATACCGCGCTAGGGGAAGCAAGCCGCTGCCTTTCTGCCTTTGCAAAATTTCAAAAATGCTTATGGTTTCATTGCAACAAATATTTAAAAAAGGCCATTTTTAAGGTTTTGGGGGGGTATAACTTCTAGAGGGGGGGAGATAGGTAAAAATTTTGTTGTACGAAAATAAGTTTCTAGTAAAGATCTATGTATATATAAAATTTCAGCTTTCTATCTTCAAGGGTGTAGAAGTTTTGTAAACAGACACACGGACAGACGGACGGACGGACGGACGGACGGACGGACGGACGGACGGACGGACGGACGGACAGAGTGAAACTAATAAGCACTTTTTTCAAAAATTTTTTTGGAAAAGTGCTAAAAAATGAGGATTTAATCTTCAAAAATAAAATTTACAAAGAAAAAAAAACAGCAATAAAGAAATTTAAATGCCTTTTAACACTTTGATTATGCGATGATGCTGTATTTTTTTAACCTGTTGTTTTAACATTTAACTTCTATATACACGAATGTATTAAAGGGGCATCATATTTTTTAATAATGAAAACATACATATATATATATGAGAGAGAGTTAAAATGAAATAAAACAGGTTCAAATTAAAATAAAATTAAAGGGGATAATAATAGGTCTAGTCATTAATACTTTTTTTTGTTTTTGTACTTTTATACTGGTTTTCACTAAATTATATTATAAACATTATATACTATCATATTACAGGATATGAGAAAACATATTAAAAACAATAATAAGCAAAAAAGGAACGTAATCCGCCAAAAAAACAAAAAAGACACAAAATTAAAAAGGATAATTTTGTCCTTAATGTATGTATGTGTCTGTGTAGCACAGAATGTGTTATTTATAATTTTTTTTTTGTTATTATTATTATTATTCCTCTCGTTAGCCTCTTATTCATTTAAAATGATTTAAAAATGAAGAGATCAAATGACAATGGCACTATTTTATTATACTATATCAAATGAAATTACTCTGTATACTCGTATATATTAGATACATGTATGTATGTATAGTATAACACGGTATCCACCATGTGCGTAAACATAATTTAATAGCATATACTAGGTCTTATACTATATTAATCATCTGATGATGTATTCGTTGTCAGGATACGTAAGTATAATATGAAATTGATTTGATTTTTAGTATCTCATATTTTAGTAAATCACTCGAAAAGTTTAATAACTGTTATAAATATATGTATATATGAATTAATATTATAGAATGGAAAAATTTATCTACATATGTATATTATTGTATATTATAATAAAGTCATTGTCATACTAGCCATGGTCATTTAACACAATTTAACCTATTCTTTATGAATTGTAGACATATATATATATGTGCATAAATTTATGTATAGGGGTTAATAAAGGTTAAAAAATTTTATTTGATATTTTTATAATATTTTATAAGAGTAATGTTTTTTCTATTAACTTTTTTTTTGATATTTTTTTTATTAAAATTTATTTTAAATAACGTGTAAATGAACGTTTTCATAAGAAGAATATGAATGTAAACAAAATATGTGTGTATATGTTTGTGTACTATTGAAAATTATTAAAGGTTTATTCAATAGGAATAATAGAATTTTGAAATTTATGAAAATTTTGAATGAATTTATTTGTTTAAAGGACTCCTTCAACTCAGAAGTCTGAAATGATTCCAATATTTTCGCTATTCTCTGAAAACTACTCAGATCGAGAAATATTTTTAAATTAACTGCTTTGGGGTGTTTCTCTTGATATGAATTTCAAAATTATTTGGCCATATTATCACAAAAATCATTAAAGTTAGCATAGTACTGATATTTGTTACAAATGAAAAAGTAGTTGAGATTACATGAGTCGTTATGGTTTTACAGCGCCAAAGTAAAATTTGGTCGCATCTCAGAAACAATAAAGGTTACAGTACCAAAGTTATGCAATATTGTTTTCAGCAATATGGTTATATTATTCTTGAAAAATTTATTCCAAATTATATTACAACTGCCATGCCATACAAATTTAAAAATAATTTAACTATTAATTGATAAGTTTTATATGGCAGCTTCAGTAGATCATAGGTTCTGTACAAAACCCATTGACAACAAGGCCATTATTTATAAATTTATATAGATAATTGTAGTTTAATAATTGTTTAAATT